AAGAAACATAACCTTTTTTTACCCAGAAGTGAACTTTTAATATAACATTTAATTTGAAGTGACAAATAGAACAGTACAACAGCTGACCAGCTGATTTACAGCCAGTGCTGCCAACGTATTTCGCGCGCATACTTGCCTGCATGTTACGCGCTCACTATTTCGTGCCTTCACGTTGCAAATCTGGAGTGAGACAAAGTAATTAGAGTGAGACAATGTTACTGATGAGCAAATTGGCCACTTTGCTTTCTCAAATCAGTGAGAGAACATGTACATTGTTAGGTAACTATAGGAAAACAAATAATCGCACATGATTTTAATAAGGTAATCATAATTAAAAGGATAACAAACAACCTACCACTGATGTATTTTTAACATTAGGTATATGGAAAGTTCCCTTTAGAAAGAAATTACGATAAATAGTGGATAGTTTTGCACAAGGTTTCTTGTCATGACAAACATTTTAAGTATATGGTTTATGGGGGTGTGACTTGTAGTTTTTTCAAAAGTTCATAGGTACTTTGGGATTTAAATATGGATACTTACATCCTTTTTGTTCCATCAAGCAAGCTGCAGAACTAACACAAAGGATAATAAACAACAATTGAAGCTAAAACCAAAAAAAAGGTTTAACTAATTAAAACTACCTAATAATGTTCATCTTGGTCAGTTACAGGATAAATGATTTCTGATGATTGATATTGAAGTTTTCAATGTCACAATGGAAATTTTCTTGGGAATGTTTCTGTCCAATTTAAATCTTTATCCAATAAATAAACCAATTACCTTAATATTTTGTAAGTTGTATCATAGACGAATAGAATAATTATAATTACAAATAATTGTTTATGCAATGTGCTCCTAGAGCGTGCTCAGTGTTCTTCGATTCACTGCTGTCGTCGACTGTCCATCTACTACCAGCACTACCACCCTTGAAAACAAAATGCTCCCAATGTATCAGAACTACTTTTAAATATGAGTAAAGTACAAAATTCTGAAATCCCGTAATTTTAACGGAAAAGCTCATTATTTTATCCCTGGAAATTTTTATTAAAACACAGAAAAATAACGGAATAAACACCTACTCCCTGGATTCCTAGGAATTCTTCTGAAGTTGGCAGCCCTGGCTTCAACTACTAACTTGTCACGGCAACTCTGGGGATCATCATATTCTGTGATTTGACGCTGCAGCAGTGTGCGCCGAATCAACATGGCACTCCTAGCGGTGGACGTCAGAATATACGCTAATTACATCACTGCTGTTGCTCCATATTTTATCCATTTGTCTATGGTTGTAGTATTCTTTAAAATATGGTTTTAGTGAACCTTTCTACTACTTACCTTTAGCTTGATGTGTACAAAATTTCAAAACAATAATTACTTGTATATTTGGAAAACCGGTTTCAAATAAATGTAGTTTGAGCTGAGTTATGTACATATAGATAATATTCTTCCATGGTGACAGCAGATTGTCAAATCTATGTCTTCAGGAGATGACTGCGTCATTGAATGAGTAAGGCCGGGGCCACACGACGCGGATCATCCGCGCGGACGGACCATGCGGATGTGGTCCGACAACACATTGAATCAAATGAGAGTGGCCACACGGGGCGATCCTAAGCCGCCTGGGCGGATTGTCCGCGCCATGTCGCGGATTGTCCGCGCGATCATAAGCCGCGTTGGAGGGGATGACACAAGTAGTCTTATGAGAGTGGCCACACGATACGGATTGTCCGCGCGGTTGGAGCTCATTTTCAAGCATTTGTGGTGGTTTTTTTTTAGTTTGTGCTTGTGCATTTTGGTTTATAGGTGTAAAATTTTCGATACTGACAAATCAATACAACTTGTTAAAGATAATGTGGGATTTCTCATGTTGTATATTTCTCATATACGAAGAGTATATCTTCCTTAGTTATATGCGGTCAAAGCAATTGAAGTAGCTCGTCAAACGATGCTATCTACATGCGATAGTAACAAAAAAAGACTCCGAACTATGGTTTCGCATGTGCTCGTAAAAGGTTTGGAGCACAAATGGTTTATCGGTTATGAAAGGATGGACCCAATGATTTCGGTTTGCCTTAGGCTCTAGCTCACCACACGCTTCTAATGCACAAACTAACATACGAGTTTCTTCCATGACTACAACGAGAACAAGTGAATTAAACCATGTTTTAGAATCTCAGTACGAAGGCTGAGAAACCTCAACCGGAAGCGGTTCATCCGCTCCGTGTGGCCGCGACATCGTCGCGCGGCTTATGATCGTACGATCATAAGCCGCGCGGACGATCCGCCACGTGTGGCCCCGGCCTAAGACTATAGGCCGCCGTTTCGGATGTGTTCTATCTCAGGGGCAAACTAAACTACTGGTACTATTCAAACCGCTAGGTGAATTCTACTAGGTACTATTCCACTGCCAGTTGAAGATGAAAACTAAAATTCAGTTGAGTTTTCCCTGAAGATGGATAGCTGCTATGCAAGGGAAACTTCCCCAAGTTAATCATTAAACTTGGTAATCCTTCGGTTGTCACCTGAAGACCTAGATTTGACAATAATGTATTATTTATTAGGTATATTTCTTTGACAATGTCACGTTTTTTTTTTATATCTATGCTGTGTACAAAAGTTGTTGTGACTATAAAGTTTGATTTGATTTTAAATAAATATCAGTTATCGGTTTTTATTCATAAAATAGGTAAACCTTAAAAGTGTCATCATAATTTGGAATTTAATTAGTCGTTGTCTGCCATTTCATACAAATTACCAGATAATCAAAAATGGAAATAAAATATTCAGAAAATATTGAATAAAAATACACCGATGATCCATCCATATGGTGTTTATTTGATTATGAGATAAAGAATCAAACCTCTTTCTTCAACATTCAACAATGAACAATACATTTCAAACAATAACCACTCAAAGCAAAGCCAGTCAATAGGAAAGGTTAACAAAATAATTATCACAAAAGCCTCCCAGCGCCCTAGACCAATAGTTGGTCAGTCATACTCGTTAGCAATGGTATGCTTTTTGAGGAAACGTTTCCTTCTTATTTCTATCATAGCATTTTTACCCGTCAAAGTGATCAAAGCCCAAAACAATAAGGTTATTTTTAAAATTTCTAAAGGCTTTATACTAAATTCATTTTTCCAAGGGGTGTTCATTTATTACTCCTTTGTTGCCTTGTGCTTACTGAGTGATAACGGAATAGAGCCAGACATGATCAATAATAACAAAACAATCCTTTTCACATATATTTGGGTCATCTATGTACTGCACACTTTACCAATCACCTGTATTCTTCAGGTCAGAAAAAAAATTTTAGTTTTCAAAGACATCGTAGATTTAACTGAAGCTCTGCAAAAAAGTAACGTACTTGTTGCTAGAAATAGGATAGCATCCTATTTCATCCTTCTATACTCATCTTACTCATTTGGCTCTTACATTTACAGTTTAAAGGAGGAGTATTCATTGAAAGTTATGTTTTTAAACGTGTTTCTCAAATTCGTTTTCATCTGCGTTGTCTTGGAGTTTTTTGAAGTAGTTTCGGATGTTAAAGATAGTTTTTACTATTTAAACACAATTCTACCTAGAAGTTTTCAGAGATGGTCATGTAAGGGAGGGGAATCCCTCTTCTCTGGCATGGAAGTTTTTCATGGTAAGTTGTAGGCTACCATTGACATTAGAGACTTAAGTAGACTGATCCAATCTACAGGGTGCTATAGCAGAGACTCCAAATTAAATCAGGAATAACAATCCAGAAGTCTAAAATTTTGTAGGTAAAATAATATTAGTTTTTCATTGTATATACTTTAATACTTTTCAATGAAATGGCGACCATACAAAGTAGGTATTTTAAGCCAAGTATGAATGTAATACTTACTTGTAATACTTGTCGTCTTCGTCGTTGACCAATGAAAATAGGATAGACTGCGTCAGAAGAGTGTTGAGGCCCAAATAGAGGTCCATCTTGTAACTCTCAAAGAGAGTAGAGCGGCCTTTTCACTAAGTAATCCTTAAGTCGTTTCTTAAAAGCCTACAGGTTCAGGTCCTTCACCTCATCCGGTGGAGCATTAAAAATCGGTACCCATGTGTTAAACTTTTAATACTGGACGAGGCCCCATTTAACCGAAACCAGCTGTCTTCTATTATTGGCAAGATAGCTAGAAACTGTTTTTAGAGCTGTACCACCAACTCCATATTTTTTCATTTTAGAAATAAGCACATCATGTGACACTACATCAAACGCCTTGCTTAAGTCGCATAGACTTAGCAAGACTGAAGACTAATGTTCAAATGCATCTATTATAGTGTTCATAAGGCTGAGTAAAGCACTGGTAGTTGATCTACCGGTACCCCTCTTAAAGCCATGCTGTGCATCAATCAGCAGGTGGTTGTGCTCTAGATAGGATACAAGTTGAACTTGAATTATGATCTCAAAAAGATCTTAGAGAATACCGGAAGTATCGAGATTGGGCGGTAGTTTGATACAAGTGAGGAATCTCCTTTCTTGAAAACAGGTATTGTCCGGGCCGTTTTGAGTATGTCTGGAAAAACACCTACCGGTACCTCAAGACATGCATTTATAATTTTAGCACGTGGGGGGTGCTATAATATCAATAACTGATTTCAATACATTACAAGACAATCCAAATACATCTTGGCTTTTAGAAGTTTTGAAGTGTTTCACCATAGATATAATTTCATGATCTACCCACTCAAACCATCTAGCTGGAGGACCTTTATAGTATATCAACTTGTTCTATGTTGGCAATAAGTAAAAATAAATCTTATGTTATTATTAATAATTAAAGTGTAAATAAGTTAACAACAACATTAGACATTTTTTGTATCAATAAATCTTTCCAAATGAATCAACCTTTTCAATTAATAACATCAACAAATACGCGTGCATAAACAAGGCCACGACAAGTTTTGGCGACGAGTAAACCTCAATTGCATTTTCAATTATCAATCAGAAACATTTTAACTAAAATCTCATCAACATGGATCAAGAACAATTCAAGCAATTTTTGGAAATGCAGCAAGCCATGATAACAACATTGGTAAGTCAACTTTCTACACAATGTTTTAACATAAAGCCAAATGACCCTGAACAATCTGAAACAAACTTAATTCTTACCATCAACTCATACTTGGCTTATGTCCCCAACTTTGACATTTTTGACAGTAAAAAGGAATCATTCTCAAATTATTATCAACGCTTTGAGAACTACATTCAGATGAAAAATATTGCATCTAACAAAGATTATTGTGCTAAATTGCTCTTGAACTCAATTGGACCAAGCAATTTCAAACTAGTTTCATCATTATCTGCACCAAATAATCCTAACGAATTAACTTACGATGACCTGATCAAAATCCTAAAAGAACATCTAGAACCTAAAAGAAATGTACTTGTTTCCCAGCACCAGTTTCTATCAATCTATCAAACTGACAATCAATCAATTTCAGAGTTTGTAAGTAATATTAGGGATAAATCAACCAACTGTGAATTTATCTCACCCTGCGAATGTAAATCATCCATATCAAATATCTTCCTTTGCACCCAGTTCATTCGCGGCCTTAAGGACAACTCTATTCGTGAACATCTTTTACAATCTGATATTACAGAGTTCCAGGAAATCGTATCTAAGGCAATGGCTTTAGAAGCTTCCAGGCTTGACTCTAAACTAATTTCTCTGAAACATCTTCCTACATCGACATCAGACCTACCAGATATCAATAAGGTTTCACATACATCTAGACAGCTTGACCGTTCCCCTTCTCAAAACAATGTCTCCAGCAGGCCCAAATCAAAACCCAAACACACCCCCCCAAATTCTCGAATCAAATTTGATGATTTGGGAATCAACGGGTTATGTTTGCGATGCGACAAATCAAATCATTTATCTAAACAATGTCGAACGGACAAAAGGAAACTACAATGTTCTGAATGCTCAAGACTAGGACATGTAGGTAAAGTTTGCATCAGCACACTTATGAGTAATAGGTCCAAGAATAGCTCACACTCATAACTAACCAGATAAACAACACAAGTGACCACCAGTTTGAAATAAACATAGTAGACATATTTCAAACCGAAACCTCACCACGGTTTCTTACATTTGTTAATATTGAAAACAAACCAGTACAGTTTGAAGTAGACTCCGGTTCAGGTTATACTTTACTTCCCCGAGACAAATTCAATCAATTAGATCTCAATCTAACACTCCAGCCAACTAACTTACTTTTTAGATCTTACACAAAAAATGTCTAATGTTGTTGTTAACTTATTTACACTTTAATTATTAATAATAACATATGATTTATTTTTACTTATTGCCAACATAGAACAAGTCGATATACTATAATTCTATGCTGGTCCCTTCCAGAACCACCACTTCCTAGTCATTGTGGATGCCAAATATAAATGGGCTGAAGTAGAAGTATGTTCATCTGCTCCAACTTCATCATCAACCATAGAGATGCTTCAGAATGTATTCTCACGCTACGGCTTCCCAGACATAATGGTATCGGACAACGCTGCTATTTTTACTAGCGACACATTTCACCAGTTCTGCAAAGAAGGAAGAATTTTTCAGAAATTTATAGCACCGGGACATCCAGCGACCAACAGGTTGGCTGAAAGAAACATTCAGACCCTCAAAAATCGACTTTTTACCATGATTGAAGAACCTTTCACAATGAAACAAAAGGTTAGGGTAATACTCTTCAGATATCGAGCTACACCCTTGGCCAGCGGGAAGACACCTTCAGAACTTTTTCTCAACAGACAAATTAGAATCAAACTTTATGCGTTAAAACCACCAAAACATCAAAAATCCTCAATTCGACACACCAAAGCAAGACAGTACAAAGTAGGAGACAGAGTCCAAGCACGGAACTACTCGAACAACAAAAATCTGTGGAAACCAGGAACCATCATTAAGATGTACGGACTCTTACACTACCTGATTAAACTAGACAGTGGATATATATTTAAAAGACACATCGACCAACTACGACTTACTGAAATATCATTAAAGACTGTCAAATTTGCTCCCACAGTACAAGAAGATACTTCGGAAGAACCAGGACCACATCATCCATTTGAAGACCTCATCACCATCCCTACTGAACAACCACCGCCACAAATCAATGAACAACCTAATGAACAACCTCAACATGAGACAGGAAACGAAAGTCCAGTGCTGCGCAGATCCAACAGAACACATTGCCAGCTTGAATATTTGAAAGACTTTGTCAGGTCTTAATTTTGTTGTTCTTTTTTAAGCGTGGGAGAATTATAGTATATCAACTTGTTCTATGTTGGCAATAAGTAAAAATAAATCATATTTTATTATTAATAATTAAAGTGTAAATAAGTTAACAACAACATTAGACATTTTTTGTATCAATAAATCTTTCCCAATGAATCAACCTTTTCAATTAATAACATCAACAAATACGCGTGCATAAACAACCCTTGCTCCAGGTGGAGATGAGTGGCGCGATCTTGTAGTGTTGTTAGTGACTAAGGCCGACATATTCCTTAGACACAGCTGTTAATTAATAGTCCATACAGCTAATGGCAACTAAGGGACCTACAGTTTATAGTGGAATACAAACCACATTTTTCCCTTGGTATTAACGAATTGGTCTAAATCAGGACAGTACTATGGATATAGTCGTAGTACTCACTAGTGCGGACATTAATCCACACCAGGGAGTATCGTATCCACAGTGCATTCCTATTAATATCCACAATTATACCGGGTGTTTCAAAATGAATTACCGGGTTTAAACGCTTTATAACTTTTATACTATTAAACTTACCGCTATAAAATACACATCAAACGAAAAAGTAACTCAAAGAGTTTATGCCTTCCAAAGACACATTATTTAACAAAATCAATCCAGCAGAACTGTAGAATTAGTTTAAAAAAACTAAAAAGTAATCTCCAACTTTTTTCACCACTAGAAATTTGGAGGTTGCTTGATGTTTTTGCAAATAACTTTTAAATAGTGAGGAAATCAACCAAAGTGGAAGGTAATATTCCGAAAGAGAATAAAATTTCCTACAATCTACTATTATTATGCATTTTTTGAAGATACTCAACTTTGAACAATTAAATCTACAGTTCTGCTGGATCGATTTTGTTAAATAATGTGTCTTTGGAAGACACAAACTCTTTGAGATGCTTTTTTTTGCTTGGGGTGTGGGAGCACCCCCCCCCCCCCCCCCCAATAAAGCAGGGGAGTCCGGGGGTCGGGAAGATTTGGAATTTTCAAAGCCGTTTGATGACTTTCTAAAGCCATTTTTAACACCTAAAACTGTGCCCAAGGGGGAGGGATACATCCTCCCCCAGAAATATTTTATATTTTATTAGCTAACATAAATACAGCTAAAATATGCAGCTTGGGCAAAAGTTCCAAATTTTTTCCAGGGGGGACCCCCAACTACCTTTTTTGGGGAGATATTCCATACCCCCCATAACCCCTGGTGGTCATCCCCCCCCTCCCCCGAAATGAACTCGGGAACTGGGACCGCCACTGAAATTATTGAAGACTAACGTTTATAGTTTATCATAGTAATAATCAGCATTTCAACTCTGTAAAGAGAAAGTCCAACTTTAATTTGGTTTATATCAACTATTCTGCCTAATGCCAAGAAAACCAGGTCCTGCTATTGAAACCACGCTTAATATATTCCATTTAATAAAAAAACAACTTCTTTAAAATATCGCTATTGCTAAAATTTTTTTTACAATTTTAAAGCTTCTTGCTGCTCATCGTCATAATAATAATTATCAAGGAATGGTTGGCCATAAGAAGTTTAAGAGTAGATGCTTTGTATCTTTTTTGTAATTCAATTTAAAATATTTAGTTTATATTTTACCGAGTAAGGAATAATATGCAAGAATGTGCATTAGAAAGTAAAAATATTATTGACTCAATCAAATCAACTTAATAAATATTAGGGTTAAACACCCACTTAAGTCAACAAAAACAAGACTCAATCATCAATAATATTTGGTAATGTGCTGTGTTAGTAATGAGGATCAATCCTATTCATGCAGTAAAGAAGATAAATATCAACTATAGGTTAGAAGTCTACTAAATTGATTAGGCTGATGTTTTAGTTCTGAAAAGGACATCTCAGTTAGAATGGTATTCTTTTTAAGTGCATCATTTGTTTGCATATCTACTGTGGGATTTTTACCTGTAAAGGCAACAAAGAATGAAGAGGACCAAATTAACTTTACAATTTTCAAGCCGATGATGTTGAAGTCATGTTTGCAAGCTCTCTTGTTATATTATTCTTTGTATACTCAGGCCAAGGAAGAATATATGGATGAAATTGGGCCAGATAAAGTTCATTATTCTGGAACTCTTTTTTTGGCAACCATTTGTCTTACTTATGTTATACATGTGTTACCAATAGTTTGTATTCTTCAGGTCAGAAATAAACTAAAAGTGTTCAAAAATATTTCTGATTTAGTAGTTTTGCTTAAAGACAGTTATTCAGCTTCAAGAACAAGAGTGATATCCTATGTAACCATGATCTACTCCTGCTATGGCCTTGCAACATATGCTTACTGTCTCAGAGAAGAATACACATTGAAAGTTATGTTTTTGAATGATTTCCTCAAATTTGTTTTTATAAGTGCAATTGTGGAATTCTATGAGGTAGTTTCAGATATTAAAGATTGTTTTCAAAATTTGAACTTTGTTCTGCCAGAAACAATGGCTAGTTGGTTTTTTAACAGAAATTTAACACCAACCTGTGTTAGGTTCAAGGGTTTGAAAGGTATGTTTAAACTCCTAACTTCCTTAATAGAATTGAGTTAAATCCCATAAAGCTATGAAGGAAAAGTACATTTTCTTTTAAAAGTGTCAGTACCATGAGTATACAGACTCAAAAGAAGTAATTTTGAACATATTAACGAATATGTTTTGCGTTTGTTTCTTTTTTTAGGTTTACAAGCTGATTTAAACTTGAAAGATATCCTTGAGCTGCACCGTCAGCTGTGTTGTGTTGTGGAAAAGATCAACAGTGTCTACGGCTATCAGAACTTTGTGATAGTGGTGTTCATCTTCCTACAGCTGATCTATTGTCCTCTGGAACTACTTGCTCTACCCTCCCACTACCACACTTGGCCTGTGATAGTACATTGTATCAACCACAGTCTGGTATATCTGGTGGGGTTGTATGTGTTGGTTAGGCCATGCACTCAAGTGGCCAATGAGGTAAGCTAACTCTGCAACTTGCATAGTTTATTTTAGAAACTGAAGTAGTTCCATCTATGAACTGGCTGTAACCACTTTTTACTCATAGAATGCTTAGTTAAAGCTTGCTTCTCACAGACTGTGCTACATTAGAATTATATTTTCTCTTAGTTTTAGACACAATTACAGTTGTCTAACTGCCATGCATAATTAGACTGTTTTGTATAAATTGTTATTTATATTAGGGGATGGTTAAAACCTGTATGACCTTTTGACTATGCACACAGAAATAAAGAAGACATCCCATTCCCACGTGTAGAAGTAAGTTTTAATTTAACTAAAAGAAAAAGAAAACTTTTAGCTACAGAACAGATCTAAAACATAGTTCTACACAGTTCTTTTACAGTTTCTTTAAATAAAACTTTCTACAGATGGTCATCATAATGGCAAGACTGAAAACCATATTTAATTTTGTGTCAGTGGCTCGCTTCAGTTATGTTCTTTTAATTCTACAGATCTAATATGTAAGAGTGTATCTATATCAAAAGCATACTTTGAGGTATATAGTGTAGATTAAAACTAATCTTCAAAAGTTACAAAAAACCATTGATCAAATTATTGGGATGAGAAAGACGTTAAAGCTTGTTCCACACTATTTTTATTTAAGTTTTATGACAATGGCGTTTTGTAACATTTTTGAAAGGGAAAAGGTTCAAACCCTGGCTTTGTTACTATCCAAAGTAGACATTTTTCTAGATAACACAGTGACAAAATGGTATCTGGGTCCAGAAACGATCCCGCTTGGTACCAAACCAGTGATCTTCAGATATGAAGGTGAGCATATACACTACACATCAGGAAAGAACAAGGAGAGTAAACGAACAGGAAAGTTTCTGGTGAATGCTTTCTGTGTCATCAAATGGAGGCTGCTACACTAGAAAGGACAAAAACAGGCGGTGAAATGACACAAAACTCACAAAACATTCAATTTGACATTTTCCTGTCATGGAGTTTTGTTTTGCCATTGGGCTACACTAGGCAGGAAAGGAAATGGAAAGGAGAAGCACAGAAACTTTATGGCTAGAAACAATTAATGCACATGACGGTCTGGAATCGTTCAGCTATCTGTGCGTGTACATTTCCAAAAGAAATTGTTCCTGGCAGTTTCTTTTCCGTGTCCCATGTAGAGTAGCCCTAAGCGCCAGAATTTTTCTGTGTTGTTTCCTTTCCTGTCGTCTACTTTTTGTGTTCAGGTTGTTTCCTTTCATGTCTAGTGATGGTCTAGTGTAGCCGAACCTTATACCACCCAACTATATAAATTCTGTTATTATAAGCTACAGTATATAGGAAATCTACTTCTACATTCTAAATTTAACTGGATGGGTTTTTTTAGTAACCTTAAGAACTTACAGTACTTTTGTCACTTCCCCTTATTGAATAGGTACTTAACACGTTCACTGTGATGGGTTACCCGTCACGCGAAACTACTCATGGGTTCGCGTGATGAGTTTACCAGTCATTGAGTCCATTCCAATACATTGATTCATTTTGAGCTCCGTTGTTGCCGGGTAACGTTATAATCGTTGCTAGCCTGTAGCTTAGAATGTGAGCTTTATTTTGGTGTAGGTTGGTAATAAAATTTCCCATAAAATCCCGTCTGGCAATGCTTTTGTCCCAGTTTCGGGGATTTTCTCTTTTCGAGCAACATAACAAGGACACTGGCTTCCAGGCAGTGCTGCTACCTTTGGGTGTTTCAGTGAACTACGTGACACTCTCAGGGTAAGGCAGCACAATCACTGCTGCTCTTTTGTTATTCAACAGACTGAAATATTTTAATGCCAATTGCTTTCGGTGGTGCGACAGGGCGTCGCCCAGGCCTCACCGCCTTTGGCGAGCACCTGTTTGATGTACCTATGTGCTGTGAACGCGTTAACTGAATTTTTTTAGTAATTTTGTATTTTTCAGGCTCAGAGAACAGTAGCCATATTAAGCAAACTTATGGGACAATCAGTTTCTGAAGCCACATTCAAAGAGGTATATCATT